AACAGGCTGAACTGAGCCGATTTGAGGTTTTTCCGTTTCTTTGACACACTGTCGCCTAAACCTACACCCTGAAAAAACGCTGGGCAAGTTTTTTGGCAAGCTGCCCACGGTTTGAATGCAGTTCGTCGCGGGACCCACGCCATCATCCCTTTACTGTGGCTTCATTTTGGCGCTTCGTATGAATTGCTATTGGAAGAAGTGATATTAAGCGTGTCCGTACCCATGCAAGATCCGAATGTAAAGGAAAAGATGGCATTATACGTTGTTGAAAGAGGTTATATGGATCTTGGGAGGGAAGTTTCGAAAAGAAGGGCAGAACCGACGAAAGAGGAGAGCTTCACGAAGAACCTTTCTCGATGAATGTGGAAACGGGGGTCCGGAACGGCAAATATTTCCAGCTCATGTCAGTCCAAATTTCACTTAGCGGTTCTTTTCTTTGGCCAGTAGTGATACATTTACTGTAGAGAAGGACTGTTATCGTGAGCTTTTGTGCCTTCTCCTTCCAAGATGTCAAATGACCTGTAACCTAAAACGGTTTTCCAACGGTTCACTGTGTAGACAGCCACAATACATTGATTTCGATTACATTACATTACCATTAACAACCCATCCAGTAAGGGTATGCAACCATAAAATATTTGATTGAAATGGAGTGATGTTCGAAATCAAGACTGCGTCACGGGAAAAGGCTCATCAGTAAAAATAAACTAAAAGACAGTAACAATCACAACCTTAGGCCTCTGAAATAATTGGAAATGACGTGCATGCTTACTTTTGATCTAATGGTATAACTTCATTTAAATGCGGTTTGAAGCGAAATGGCACTCTTTTTGGAATTCTCTTCTCTATGCGATTTGATGCCATTTTCTAAAAGCCTCGCATGGTTATTAGGTTAAAAAGGGAAGTGAAGCGCACGACATCGGGTAGCAACGTGCCAGGTAATGAACATCCATTCATGACCGCAGTGTATTTGAAGGCCAGTTTGATCCAGTACATTGTCTTGTAAGGCAAAGCGGTATGCTCCTTGCCTTTCGTCTTTTGATGCTGACCGAGGACTACATTAATTTCAATTACATTATGCTGATTCTAAAGCTACGTCATTTTCTTCAAGGTCGCCGTATTATGATAATCTTTGAGAGGGAAGCAGTAAAACAGCATATCATGCTTCTCCCTACTTCGGCATGTTGCCAGATGCCAGTGATTTAGAGGTTCCTACTCGGTGAAAAAGCCAATATTCCCCAAACTACCAGCTTATCTTTCAAACAACGTATATTGTCATCCCTTCCTTTACTTTCGGATCTTTCATAGGTGCGGATAATTTTAACATCATTTCTTCCAATAGTACTTCAGAAGTAGCGCCAAAGTGGAACGAAAGTAGAGTCGACAGCGTGGGTCCCGCAACGAATTGCTTGACTCTCAAGCCGTATAGTTGACAAACGTCCAAAAACTTGACAAATGTCTCGCGACAACTCGCCCGGCGTTTTTCGGGATGTAGGTTTAGGCGACAGTTGACCACTAGTAGTAAACATAGTTTTGCGAACAGCAGAGGCACAATGCCATGGTCAGAATAATTACGACATCCATGCAAATAGCATTGCTGTTGCAGTACCATAATAGCGATCGCTGGGGACGATGTACGATGCGGTGAAAATGTAGGGGGGGGGGGGGCAGCGCCTCCTCGAATCACTGACGGCTATAGCCCATAGAAGAGGGAGTAGCCGGCTTCACATGTTCTTAGAGATGTTTTTTAGCCAAAAGAATATTGTCTTTACCTAACGTTAAGAAGGGAACGGGCTGCGGGGGTGGGTGAGATAGTTATTTCGTCCAAAAAGCTGTGATGAGATAAAATGAACGTTCAATTGGCTCACTCACCCTGGAGCTCCTCCCTTCCTAAAATTAAGTTAAAAATACACAGCTATAACATAAAAAAAGCTTCGAAAGGTTCCTAAACACCATCACGGGCTCGCCTACTCTTCCTTCTCTGCGCTCTAGCCGTCAGTGATTCAAAAAGGCGTTGCCCCCACCCCAAGTACATCTTCATCACTGATGCTGTCGCAACGCATGAACCACGCGTGCGTTGATCGATAAGACGTGTCTGCTTTGTTCAGGCTCACGCTTATTTACCATGTGATTACTTCTACAACATAGATAGTTTCATGTAAGTTCGACTATCCCCACAGGTTCCGTTAGGCACCGTTTGGGTTGAAAGGGCGGGAATGCTCTAAAACTGTGACGAGCTCTTGCATACGCCGGAAACGCCATAGATATAATTCATTTGCTTTAGTGAAGAGCATTCTAAAAATCACATGGAATAAAAAGAAAAATTTCAGAGAAAACCCTCTAGCAAGCTCAAATTCTCGCTAGCTATTTTTGGGATGTTCATCGCCGACGTCAAGTTAACTATTCAAGGAGCAATTTGCAGCATTAAGGGGACCACCTCAATCGAACAAAATAGCGTAGTGTGAAACGAGGGACACATCACCTGCTTATTGACGCTGTCTTCTCTTCCTGTCCAGAGCAATTTTGACTGCGCTCTTGATTTCCCGAGTAATTCGTCAAGCAAACCTGAATTCTCCCCCACAACATCTTATCCACGATCAAGCATCAGAGCAATGTAAGAAAATACTCTTCAGTTCTTTCGTTTTCACCGTTTTTCGATCTCCTCGAAGAGAGATTCGGTTGCTCATCACCACCCTTGTTCATTTCTTCTCCTTTGCTTCTTTGAAAAATCTCTGCCAATCTCTGACAAGATTCCACTGGTCCAATCTGAATATAAATTGCTTTTGGAAATTGACAAGATATGTAAAAATATAAACTCTTCATCTTGCCCTGACCACGTTAGATTTAAATCAGAAATCGCTAGAAGTCTCGATTGCTTTCAAACGTAGGCCTCGGACAGCTCCTCTAACATTCCTACCAGAGTACGATTAATTTCGAGGCAAATGTCTCAGATAACTATCAACTACATTAAATCTCTTCTACATATGTTTTAATAGAGCCCCAGGAGACTACTATTGTGAAGCAACAGCTCTGTAAGTTTACACCCACAGTAACCGAGAAATAATTAAAACGACACAGTAAAAATGCAAAAAGTAACGTTAAACAATCGAAACGGTGACCAATCAATGACGTCACCATTCAATTAATGCCAATGTCGAGAATCAATCAAAGTGAGAAATCAACCGCCCGATTGGTAGATCAAATCAGAAAAGTCATAGAACCTGATGAAGTTATTGAGAACTCATTAAATTTTAGTAACTCCAAAGGGAATGGACAAAGGGAAAATTTCTTCATAACAGTGAGTAGCTTCGGGATACGCCATGCTTTCATTTTACAACCAGGTCCCCGGAGTAGTTATTAAGCTCAGACAATCCTACTTAATATAAAGCGCTTCGTCTGTCGTTTGTCTGTCGTTCTGTCTATATGTCTGTCACGAAAATCCTTAGCTCCATCAGATCTGCGTGGAGAGACCGGGCTAAGCATGGGATGGGTGGGCCATTTCCCGAGAAGTATAAAGCACACATCAGCTTGGCGGAGCCCCGCCCACAGTGGTCGTGGCGTGCATCGAAATGAGCTGTAATGAGGACCATGATTTCAGATTCAGTCATAAGATGGCTTTGAAACTGGAGTTTAAAGGTGGCTAGAGGTTGCATTGGTAAGGTAGTACGAACTGGTGAGACCCACCGGAAACATTAAGACACTGAGACAACATGGAATCACTTATGGAGGATGGCAGGACCAGAGTTCGCCCACAGTGGGCCAGTGAACAGGGTTTTAGCGGGAACCCATAAATCCTATAAAGGTCTAAATGAATATCAGCTCATGTGGCTCCGTCCCCCATGGCTAGAACCCCTAGCGCACGCGACAGCATGCGTGACCGCCTGGTATTTAACATAGCCTTAGAACTTCTCAGTGATTGTAGGGAAGCAGCATGACTGCATGATGCAGAGGATCAAATTCTGTCGCCGCTAAAC